CTACAATTAAAGTGCTGTCACAACTCCGAGCCTGCATCGCAGCATCACTCGGGAGGGGCTGAGGACCAGCACGGCAGGGCGAGTACATGAAAACAGCGCCTCGTCCCACGGCTGGGGGCACAGCAAAGGGGGCACAGCGAGCAGCAAGGCGTGCAATCATCGTGGAAGTGCAGCAGAGTGAGGCACAACACAGAAGCATGCAGATTTAAACCCAAACAAGCACTGCGCAACACTTGATCCTGCAATACTTACTGAAAGCAGTACTTTGTCACATGTGCGCATCCACCGGACCCCTCCGCAGTCCCTCTACCTGCTTCCAGGTAAATAATGTGACAACACCTGGCACCAGAGGACTGACCTGGGAGTCTACAAGGCATCAGCGGAGGCTCCAGCCAGCATCTGGCGCAGACCCCGCAGCAGGGGCGGGCAGAGCAGGCTCCCCCCAGACCTGCTTGTCGTCTCTCGCATCCTCGCAGCCAACTGGAGCCCCGGGGTCCTGTCGCAGCGCCGGCGGCTCTCAGCGGTGCCACCCCCGCGCCCCGGCGGCCGCAGCGGACGGGCTAAGGCTGGCCGGGCTAAGGCTGGCCGGCATAGCCGGGGCTCGGGGCGGCCCGGCCGGCCGCGGAGGAGAACGAGCCCGGGCGCCGTTCAGCGGCCGCGAGCATCGCAGCCCGAGCGCTGGGGCCGCGGTGGGCAGCGGGCTCCGGGGCGCAGGGGCCGGCATGCGGGGACGGGCGGGCCGCTCCTCGCCGCGGGACCGGCGCCGCCTCAGAGCCCGCGGCGGATGGCGGCCGGTCCGCGGCTGCCGCCCGCCCCCCGGCTGGCGCTGCGCCGTGACAGACACCCCGGAGCGGCGTCCCGGGCGGCGGCTCAGGCAGCGGCTGGGAGGCTCAGGCGGCCGTCCCGGTCACCCCGGGCGCGCCCACGGAGCCATCGCCGCGCCCGATACCCTCTCACACCCCCAATCCCGGGCGGCCGGCACCTGCCCCGGGCACTCCGCAAGGGGAAGCGCCCAGACCGCGCCACAGGGCAGAGAGCAGTGGCGCCGGTCCCGCCGCCGCCCTCAGCCCACGCCGGGGCCCCGCGCCGCCCTCATGGCGGGAGGCCGGCCCGTCCGACGGGCTCCCCGCCCCGCGCTCAGCGCCGGCCCGGTGCGGCTGCGGGCGGGCGGCGCCTGCCGCCGCCTCCCATTGTCTGCGCGGGGCGGCGCGGCCGGGCGGGCCCTGCCCCGCTCCGCCACCGGGCCCGCCCCGGCCTGACGTCACCGGGCCCCATTGGCGGCCCCGCCGTGTTTACAGCGGCCCCGCACCGGGCACCGGGCACCGAGCGCCTCGGAACGCGCCGCACGCGAGAGTCAGCCCCGGGACGCGCCAGCCCTGCCTGGGTCACCGTCCCGCTCATACCACAGCTCTCCTCATTTCCCTACACACAGAGTATTTGTATTTTTACTCATTGCTCTAATAAGGCAAATCTGCGGAGCGGTAAAACCCGACAATTTCGGAGACTGCGCGGTCCCACCATCCACAGGAATCACAGACCCCCGGGCAGCAGGGCACGTTCAATCATCGGCCTGAGGAATCTGATGTCTGACCATGAAGTCAGGCTGGCTCAGAAGACAACATTCAGCGTAGGAAATGAAATATTCCTTGCCTCAATTCAATCACATTATGATCAAAATGGAAAAGGACAGTCTGGGAAATGCAGTCAGAGCAGTAGGAGACTGGCTTCCTGAAACAGTGTCCTTAATAATAGTGTGTGAAAAGAAAAAACCACCAAACACATCTCAGCAGGAATATAAACAGAACCGACAAAGGCTCCACACTACACAGGAGTCAGTAGAGGGGAGGATGAATAGAAAGTTAAGGAGTTTACTGGATAGCTCCTATCAAGGCACAAGGTATCTGTGTCCTCTACCAATGCTCACACATCCCCGCAAGCTGCACCACAGCCTTTTAACAAGGTACAAAACATTCATCCCTCCTCCCACAGAGAGCCCAAACAGATAATCTTTTATGGTGGTAACATCCAAGATGTAAACACCAGTCACCTTTACCCAGCTGGAAAGAGAAGTGAAAAACTGTGAATACTGTTTATAACACAGATCTTTTTCCTATGGAAAGTCTCTTACAGCTGCAAAACGTTCAGTGATACTGAGCACATCTCTCCTACCCGACTCTGGTGTCCTGCATCTCACCACAGGCTAAGAAGGGCATCTGGTCCCGCTAAACAGACACATGCCAGGGGTTTGGTGATAACATTACCACTGTACAGGAATCATGTACCTGTCAAATTGTGGAATGCCACAGGTAGCACACACAGGCTGTTTGCTCACAGATGATTCCAGGCTGAAGTGAGAGTTTGGATACCACTGGTGTGGCCTCATCATGCTAACACAAGTGAGCCACCAAGCCCCACCTCCCCGAGTCTTTTTATGTTTTCCAGCTAGGAAAGACAGCCAGATTATACACTGAGAACCAGCAGGAGCTGAAAAGCTGCCTGTCAGGTGTGTCAGTGCCATTTACATTCAGTGCCAGTCACACCCTTGTCCAACCCGTACACACTTGACTCATCAGTACACACATGGCCTGCCCCCATTTTTAGGTTCTGTCCTCTTTCCTGCAGATGCATATGTGTAATGCCAGCAGCACTCACAGGCATTTCCCCAGAATTTCTGATCACATCCTGTGCCAAGGAAACACCATCTCTACAGACATTTTATGGAAGCAGCAAAGGCTTCTGCAGAGGGTAAACACAACGTGCTTTCCATTGGGAATCTGTATTGAAATGCCTTTATAATTCCTTATGCATCTGCCATGAGATCATCTCTGCCCTTCAGTTCAGCCTTCAGTTCTTCAAGCCTCATTTGCCTTTTTTTTTTTTCTTAAAAGAACCTCTCTACAGACAGTGAATGGGAAGTGAGCTCAAATGGCTATAAAAGCACACAATGGCTTCTGAGAACTGAGTTTTACATAGAAAACAGAAGAGGCTGCCAAGTTTATCAGCAGAGATCAGGATCACATGAGAGTGGTCCTTTATGAGAAAAAGGTTTGCTTTGAAAAGAAAGAATATCACTATTCAAATTAACTAGAAAAAATGCAAGAACACCGGCAGCTGGTGTCAACTGTCCATTTGTAAAAGACCTAACTCACCCATGAGTGAGAAATAAGGAAAACTCAGAATAAAACAAGTATCTCTGTATAGTTCAGAAGAGGGTGCACAATCCTTCATGGCACAGCAGACACAAATGAAGGAAGGAGCCCTTCAGAGGATGGCACAGAACAGGCTGCCTTCAGACTCCTTTTCTGCCCACTCCTATGCTTGGCTCAGTTCTTAGAAGCAGAAGCATGGTGGAAGATGGTCTCACAACCCTTCCCAGTCATTATCAGGACTGCTCCCTGATCCCAAAGGCAAATACTTGTGCTGTGCTCAAAAAAAAAAAAGTGATTGTTGTCTTAATGGAACTGAAAACATAGAGTTCACATATAGAGCAATTTTGACTTTATTTTAAAGACATTTGTGGAAGGGAATTGTTTATCTAAACTTAGATGAGATGGAAATTGCTTGTTCTTTTCCCAGAGTGTTCCTGGGGTATGGCTGTTAGCTCTATTCTCTCTGGCAGTGCTCATTCCAGCTGGAATCATGAACTGTGTTTTAACAATGCAAAGGAACTCAGAGTGTTCCACTGAGTTAATTAAAAAGAATTTTAAAATTCTTGTCAATATTTTGTGACTACAAATATTCCTCGAAAATCTTCCCTCAAGACCACGTAACAGTCAGTAGGGCAAGGATTTTAAGGAGGGAAATTAAAGCAAACAGAGAAGTCAGGGATTTGTGTATTTATTCAATTGATAGAATCAACTCACATTAGTTTTCACCTTGGCTAGCTAAGCTAACATTTGCTCTCTAGCAGTAAATGAGAAGATGTAGCTGGTCCTTTAAATAACAGTGTAATTTGCTCCCTTTGGAGCACTGTGCATCAAGGCAGAGGCTTCTGATAAATCATGGTTGGTATAATTATTCAGTCTTTTTCCCTGAAGGGCCTCTGCAATGCAGCGGTCCTCTTACTTTTTTTTTTCCCCTCCCTGTTAGCAATGCCCTAGTTTGTTCACTGCTGCAGTCCCCTCCCTTCCACCATCACCACAGCATAACAACCTCTAATTGAGAGCTGGGCTGCTAACCAAGAGCACCCAGAGAAGCTGCAGGGACACCAGAGACAGCACTCACAGCCACCTTCTCAGCTCCTCCCAGCTCAGCAGCACCAAGAACTGTCAAACAAGGCATTCATAACCTACCCACCTGGCATGCCAACCCTGGATTGCTAACAGCTGAGCATCAATCACCATCACACGCTCTCAGCTGCACTCCACAAGCAGCAGGAGGCCCTGGCAGCAGATGAGAAGCACCCACAGACTCTTACAATCTTCTCAAGTCAAGCAAATTTGATTTTGATGCTGAACACAAGACTTAGTGCACCTCCTTGTTAAGAGCCAGTTCTGTTTCTGTTTGCACCTGTACCTCTGCAGCCACATCACAAACCTCTCCTCACTCTGCAATGCCCACAGTGCTCTGTCTCCATGCTGCTCTTTGGAAGTGCTACCATGCCAGCTTCTTCAGCACATCTCTCTTGTACATGCCTTACTACCTCCCCATTTCCTGCTTAAATAAATACACATTTTTCTAGACAAGCTCAAGTTTCAGAGTTCTCAGGAAAGACAATTCCAGGGTAAATGCTTCTCTCCTAGAAACTGGGCAGTATGATCAGCTTTCCATTCAGACAAACGAACCCACCTCTTTGTCATCCTCTATAAAAGGCAGCAACATTTTGTTCACACCAACAGAGCTAATAAAACTTTTCAATGAAAGTACTTTGATTAACATTGCCACAGTCCTTCCTGTCAGGACAAACCTGCCCCTCTACATCCCTCCCCACCAGGAGCTGCTCTGTCATTCACAGTTCTGCATTTGTTCTGCTTTCTTAAGGAATATCCCGCTTTTCTTACCGTCCAAGGACAGCCAGTCATGCTGGGAGGAAGGCAGGGTTGGCAGAGCTCTGGCTTTATATTCAAATACCACAGAATTGGAGATGATCTGATTGTTGAAGGCAACTTGCAAAGTCACAAGCCCAGTGTCATGAGCTAAAAGGAAAATACATGTTGTAAAACAGAGAACTCCCTGCAGAAACCCCAGCTAGGAATTACCCCATGTGCCAAATATTGGGCTGAGAGCAGGTGAAGAGATGGGGTGCTGAACAGTATTTTTGTGACTAGACAATTCAACAGTCCAAAATACCTGTTGGTATATTCAAACGTGGAGATTTTATGCTTAAGAGTCATCTAATTATTATTATTCTGGCAAAAGGCAGCATCACTTGTTTCTAAAGACTGAGCAGCCTCACTGCATTTTCAATGGAAAGCTGGGGCCTAGCAATGAAACCAAGTTATTCTGCATCCACTTGAAGTCATATATTGCAGGCCATCACTACTGAAAATCTCTGTGGGGAGGTTAGAGGTGTTCTCATGTAAGTTACAAAGGGCAAAACAGGCAAATCAAGCCAGCAGAGCAGTTGAGTGCACCCCCGAGTAACAGCTACTCTTTAATCTGCTCTTTCAAAACAAAAGGAATGCTTAGAATTATTTAAAATTACTTCCAATAATTATTTTAAAGTTAATTCAAAGATTCTAAATAGTATTTGTTGTGATGTATCAAGATGCCAAATTGCTGTTCTCACACTAAACTGGTCAAAAAAAAGAGGAAAATCTTCTGGATGCCAGTGCACTTTTGTACGGGTACACGACACGATGAGGCTCGGAAACCCGCAGATGTAGGAGAGCCGTGCTCCTTACCTGGGCAGTAGCAGCGCAGTACCCCTGGCTGAATTAAAGATGCAGGCACTGAGATCTGATCAAACAGACAGCTGTAATTATTGCTGGCTTCCTGCCACGGGCCGGTAATCAGGACTTTCACTCCTCCCTGCGAGCAAAAAAGGGAGAGACCCGAGCGTGACAGGAGAGGCCGGGGCGGGAGGAGCGCGGCCGGACGCGCCCGCCGCCCCTTCCCGGGGCCGTGCTGCCCTCGGGCGGCCGGGAACGGGAGCGACACGGCCGGGAACGGGAGCGACAGCCCGGGGGCACGGGAACGACAGCCCGGGGGCACGGGAGCGATACGGCCGGGCACGGGAGCGACAGCCCGGGGGCACGGGAACGACAGCCCGGGGGCACGGGGCCGCCCGGTGCCGCTCTCTGCCCGGTGCCGCTCCCCGTCCGGTGCTGCCCTAGTCCGGGGGCACGGAGCCGCCCGGTGCCGCTCTCAGACCCGTACCGCTCCCTGCCCGCTCTCAGCCCGGTGCCGCTCTTAACCCCGATGCCGCTCTCAACCCCGGTGCCGATCCCTACCCGGTGCTGCCCTAGCCCCGTGCCGCTCCCTGCCCGGTGCCGCTCCCTGCCCGGTGCCGCTCTCAGCCCGGTGCGGCCCCTCCCGGTACCGGCCCGGGCCTGCCGAGCTCGCCCCGCCGAAGGCCGGGAATGTCCGGGCCGCATCCCCCGGAACCGGCCAGCGCTGCGGGACAGGGAGACCGGCCCGGAGCAGTTACTGCACACCCCCGTACAGACTCAACAGTGCTCCAAGGCCGGGCCTAGGAAAACAACATCCACCACCACCTCTTTTTTAAAAAATTCAAATTAACCTTCTCTTCCCATTAGTGGCTCAAACAGTCTCTTTCCTCACACATTTCTTCACAGCAGCAAGGTCTGTGCTGCTGCCATTTTCAGCTTATGGGGCATGTGACTGATTTTGGAAGTCAGTGAGGTGGAGGGAAATGCTGAACTCATTAAGGCTGTGCAGGCCTTGAATTACTCTCCTAGGAACATCTGTGACAATGTAAGGAACAGCTCCAGTTCACAAATACTACTGCTCTACTGGGCCTAGGCAGCACCACGAAGCCATCGTGTGGGGAAGACCTGGCTTTCAATGAAACAATACCTTTCTGTTCAGACGCTTCCTTAGTGAAGAAAGGGCCCTGTCAGGATAATGAAGTGCTTAATTAAAAGTACACTCAGACATGCAAGCAGCCTTGAATGCTCTGACTTGGGAGAGAAATATTTTAAAAACCTTTTCAAAGCTTTAACAAAACAGTTCCCTTATTACCAAAGCAAAGATAAAGCAGTAAACATGAGTGAGTAAAAGCCCTGGACTTACCTCAGGGTAAGACCATTCTGGTGAATAATCTGTCACCATGAACAAGCGGCCACTCTGCTGCAGCAGCCCCAAAGTGCCTTGTGCTGCAGCTGCCGAGACCACCTCAGCCACGTGCATGTATGCCATGGTGCTGGCTCCGTTCTCCGTGCTGCTCAGCTGCATGTTGGCTTGCTGAGGGCTGCAGCAAGGAATGCACATCTCGGCCTGGTTGTACGTCGCTCTGTTACTGTCTTCAGGCTGAGACAGTCCAGCACTGTCACCTGACACCAGCTGGTGTCCGTACAGAGCATTGCTCCCACCTTCTACCGATATGAAATCGTTAATTAGATCAGAAAACTGGTTGCTGAAGGAGATGTCAAAGTGGTCTAAGTTAAGCTCCATGTTGGAGGAGTTATTTAAGCTAGGATGGGCCACAGGATAGAGTCCTTGTACCATGTTTCCTTGGAGAATAGGGAGGTTGTTTCCATTCCTGATACCCCCGTTGGCCTCAGGCTGCAAGTAGTGTTCTGTGTTGCAGGCTTGAAGATCCCCTGATTTAAGTAGATTTTCATTTCCTTCTGCCTGCTGGGAGGTCTCCATGGGAACTTCAGCTTCTGCAGTCATAGCCTGGAAGTTTGCTTGGAACTGCATGAGCTGGAGAGAAGAGGTGGACTCTATTCTGGTTTCCACTGTGCCGTTACAGTTGGACGTGGTTTGGGACGAGGACTCTGTTTTCACATTGGAGATTCCTAACGTGTTCACAAATGAGCTACCTGTGTCATTCAAATTGTTGTGAGTGTTTTGTTCAAGGGGAAGAGGTTTGCTGGCATCCTGCAGAAAGAAGCTGGGGGAAGGGGTCTGATGGACATGAGGGCTCTGGACGGTCTGATTGAAGCTGGAAGAATAGTCCTTGTTGGAGTCAATGGCACTGAAGTCCATCTGCTCCAGGGTGGTACTTGGGCTCAGACCTCCTCCAGATGGAAGTAAACCTGAACCAGTACTGAGTGTGAGAGTGTTAGATGCAGAAGTGGAGGAAAATGCTTCTTTGGACATCTGTTGTTCAAAAGATGTGTCCTCAGTTTTAATTTCTTTTGTGAGGGTTGTATTGAAGTTGAAGCTACGTTCTGTTGTGGGTGACTGCCTTATATTGGTATTGATGCTGTCACTTTTCATACCTCCTCCACCATAAGTCTGCCCTTGCTTGGGATTGTTAAGAAAACAGTCTGGGTCAAAATTCATGGTGGTTTCTGGAATTTTCCTATTTCCTTCTAAAGTTGTGGAGAGCACAAGTTCCTCAGAGACAGTGCTGGGTAGCATCGACAAGCTCTCTGAACTGCCAGTTGTTGGAAAAGCAAACTTGTGTCCATCTGAACTCACAGCAAGTACCAGTCCTTGTGCAGCTGCATCTGAGGACAGAAGGTGCTGATTTGGGCCAGATGTGGGTGACATCGTGTACACAGCTTCACTGGTGACTTCTGACATAAATACGGTGGCACTTTGTGACAAACTTCCCATAACTGATGCTACAGCCATGCTGGACACACCAGTGACAGCTGGGCTATCTGCCATATCTGGGTCGCTGTTTAACCCACTGCTGATGGACACAGGAGAATTCTGGGTTGTGTCAGGGACCTCCACCTGGTTGGTGGAAGAAACCTCAGTGCTGTTTTGATGGAGCAACACTGGTTTTGCCACTTTGCCGTTCCTCTTCTCTCGGCTGGAGGCCTTGCCGTGGCTGTGCTCGTTCTTGCCTTCAGAGACATCGTTATTTTGTACCTCTGAATGAGTGCTGTACCCACCTGTCCTTGGTTCAACCTTTGGTGATATGATGCGGTGTTTGGCACTGTTACACTTGTGATGCACACTGCTTCCTGCCCCTGTGCCAGAAAACAACAGTATTTGCTGTTCAGTAAATACAAAATTAGGACAATGCTAGTTGTGTATCTCGTGCTTGTGCATACATGTGCACACAGAGCACACAGTCAGCACTGGAGCTGCTGAAGAATTTTCAAGCAAGGGCCACCAGAAGAAAATCCTCCACAAATTAAACCAGCCAGCACCTTTACTGGCCTGTAATGGTAACATCACCTGCATTCCTGAGAGCTTGTAATCAGGCAGGATGAAGTAAACAATCCTGTCTGCAAAGGCACCTTAGTCACAAACTCTGGTGCAGGGATTGCTTTTGCTGTTTAAAGAACAGCAGCCCATGAATTTTTGACGTTTCTTTTCTTAATTGATTAATTTTCCCTCGAATGATGTAAGAAATTAATTACAGAACTGCAGAATGACTGAAAGGGGGAAGAAGCCTCCTTACTATAGCTCATGGCTACAATTATAAATGCCATCTTCTGGGCAACATAAAACATCTTTGTAGCCACCACAATTTGCTGAATCTTTTGTTGCTTGCCCTTGAAGAGGAACATCTCTATTATGTGTTCAAGATTTGAATGAGGTCACTTAAAGTAGTTCAAGACAGTGCTTTTGAGACTAAATACAATATTAAATCTCTCTATTCTAGGTATAGAAATGAACAGGAACAAGGGAAAGACTTTCATGCTGCTGTATTTGTGGATGACAGTAAGGGATTGGGAATGTGTGTGTCAATGTGCAAGCCAGTTACAAAACAAAGCAATACTGTTGTGTTAAAAAGCACCGAGCAGACTTAGCACAAGACAAAACATCAAAGGGAAGAATAAAAGGATTCATGTTCAGATTTGCAAGCCTGGATCAAATGCTGAGCCTTAAGGGGTGAATTTTAATCCAAACTCAGGTATTTCAGAGGTCATCATTCTTATTTAAGCCTTGATTGTATAATACAACTGCTCAAGAAAAGAAGAAAAAAATAACTCTTTGAAGCACTGACAACTTTCCTTTATAAGCTTTGCTAAAGACTAGTTAATGTGTCATATACTTTATTTGACCAAAGTGCTAGAAAGGAGTAGCTCTATAGCAGATGAGTTGGGAAGTGAATCACTGAGCTTTCCACTGTCTGTGGGAAATGCTAACACTAAGGGTGCTGCTGTAGTGTCATCCAAAACAAGGTCATCTCCTTTAACATGAAGGAGATCTGTATTTTTCATGATACCTAAATAAGACCTGTCTTATCTCAGTGATACCTTGAGTTAACCACCTGAGCACTCCTCCAAAAAAGTGAGCTGCAGGGCAAGGAATTCAGAGGGTGAAACTGGAGGAACATTAGATTTTGAGGCTTTGGCAACAGAATTTGCACATGTAGAAGAGAATGTACCTTTCTGAGCAGCTCATGTATGGACTGCATTTATTAGAAAGCACTGACATTTTCCCCAGAAGTTCCAGCTGCATCTTTTTATGCTCGGGACTTCTGTCAACTCTTGAGTTCACTGTGTCCCAGTGTTTCATGAAACAGCATTTTTATCACTTCAGCACTAAAAACCTTGCTCCCAGAGTGGATGAAGCTGAGTCACTGAGTGCCCTGCTGAGTACTCACCCAAGGTACCAGTGCAGAGACAGTTGTGTGTCCGAGGCTGGGGCTTGGTCTGGTGGCTGTCGAGGATCTGCTGCACGAGCTGCTCCACTGAGAACCCTGAACTGCTGTTGCCATTGCTGCATGTCCACTTGATGCCATGAACTGCAAAGAGAACAGTAAAATTTCCCATCAGAAACTGCAAAATCATGCCAAAACCATCAAAAGCCACTCCAAATTACCAGTAAAAATCCATTCCTGCTGCTTTGTGTCAGAACTGAAAGGAGACCTATAAAAAGCAACAGTAATGGATACTGGCTTACTATTCTCTGCTCCTTGCTATCAACAGGCTTCCAAAGGCAATTCCTGAATTAGGAATAGATAGAGGAAAAACTCCTCAGCAGAGTATCTGGCTCTGTTTCAGTCTGCTGCTAACAGGGACTCTGCACCTGCAATGACTCTCTGTAGCGCCAGCAACCTTCACTGAAAACCCAAAACCAACAAAAGACTTGGTTCCATTGAAGTAAAGCAGTATAATTCCTAAGAGCCTTTTGGAATCTTTTTCTGTCTAATATGAAAACAAAATCAGCCTTATAGTAAAATCAGCAGCCAAAAATACACCAGAGTAACAGCAAATGCAAACCTCCTGCCAGGTCTTCATTGTCAGATCCCAATGGCAGCAGTGAAGGCTGACTCATTTTTTGGGAGTGACTAACAGACACTGTGTGAGTTCCTCCTCAGACTTGGATGACCTTTTAGTAATTTGAGAAAATGGACAGGTGGGTGATGTTACAGAACAGGTTGCAAACTGAAGCTTTTTCCTTGGGAACTCTCTGGGCCTGTTAGCTATTTAAATAAGAATGCTAGACTGCATACAGATACATGACTTGAATAAAGACTCCCTCTCAGAATATTTTAGTTGCAGAATTTCTTATAACAGTGATATTTGCAACCTGACTTACAATGGAAATGGCACTTATAAAATATTTTATCCATAATAACTGACTCAAAGCATCTTCTGTTTCTCTTAATGTCTCTCTGAGCAATTTATATGTGCATATTATTTATTTATCCTTTAAATGCACCACAGCTCATGTGCAGATTTTGGAAAGTGCTGATAAGTGACAACATAATTTCCAAGGTGTCCTCATGTCTGGCAGCTTCTTTCAGAGAGTCTTTGCCATAGTCTGTCAAGGCACGTTCCTTGCATGTTGTGTTCTAAAATGCTTAAACCAGAATACACAAAATCAAAGCTGAAAGTCTCATGGACTTAGGCTTTGTAGTAAAGCCACAGATCCCTGTGTGGTGAAGGTCCCTGATGTGAAGGGGAAATCCTGGCAGCAGCAGGTTGGGCTGATGCTCCTGTACAGCCACAGGCTGGGGCAAAGCCAAAAGCAGCATCGTGCAAGGAGATCAGAGCAAATGAAGGGATGTTTGTGACATCTAATGGTCACAGGGGCAGCATATCCTGTGAACAGTGTTCTGTTCTTCTCTCTGATGCTGCTCACTGAGTGTGTCACACACAGCTGGTGGAACAGAGCTCCTGGATCTGCTCTCTGAAGCAGTTTTATTGCTTTTTTGTTACCTGTTGCTGTATTGCCTCCTCACCCACTAATGTCATTTTGCCCAACAGCATCTCATCTTGGTCTAGTTTTATATTGCAGAATTCACATTGCTATTGGCCAGGCTGGATAAACTGCAGAAATACTGTAAATCAGGTTTACAAGCATTCTTCCCCATATCACTATTTAAAGTGCTGCAGATTGTTTTGTAATAAGTCCCTCTATGTTTGTTTGATGACCACATTTATTGTTATCGTACCCAACAGATTTTGCTTCCTAGTACATTCACAGTTTTGGATTTCTTCTTAACACTCAGTCTCTGTTATGACATCTAACTTAGACATGCTTGCCACTTCACTACCTCTGCTCACATTCATTTTATTATTTAAGATACATTGTTCTGTCACCAGTGATATTATGTCTAATAAGTGATGTCCAAACAGCAATTTTACAAAAAATACATTGTCAGTGAGATCAGAATGCAGTCAAGTATTTTGGATCCTTTCAGCTATACAACACTAAGCTACTGAGCTGTAATTACTATTGAGAAACTTTGCATTAGGTAATTTCTGGTTACTTCAGAAATGCTTTTTGCTAAAGAAGTGAGCTGGGGTCTGTGTTTCTGGGTACAGAAAGTGTTTTACAGCAGGATGGCAGCACTGCTAAATCCTGGGACGAGCAGAGCATCAAGGGGGCAGCTTTGGGAAGTGAATCATGGCTCAGGGTTTGTGTATTCATGATGATGGTTCTTAAGTCTGAATCAAGCTGTGAGCTAGGAGCTAAGGCATAATGGACAGCTTTAGAGCTGGGTACTTAGAGAACCATGCCTATTATTTTCAGGTCCTTCCAGCATAGCAAATTCCAATTGAGGATCAATTGCTGCTGAGGAAAGGTCCTTCTCCAGCCTTGCTCCAGCTGATCCTAAAGGGCTCTGGCTCCAGCTTCTGTCCACGTGGTGCCACTTTTTTTGGTACTTATGTTCCCCATATGCTATGAAGGTGATAAAATAAAAAGCCAGTGAAGGGTGACAGATTGCAAAAAAAGAATGTCTGGATGCTTAATGCAAATTATCCACTATCTTGGCACATCCAATATGCAGATTTTCTTCCTCCCTCTTTTAAAGAAAGACTCCTGTGCCTGGTGAATTGTTAGTACTGAATACCAAACACTATCAAGATGGCTTTTAACATGTCACGCTTGGCTTCCTGACACATAATGAATCAGCAGGAAAGGAGATTTCTATAGGGAAGAAAGTGCATTATGAAAGGAAGGCTAATAAAAAGCATACACACAGACTCTTCCTGCTTCTTAGTGGTTCAAGAAGTGAAACCACTGTAGAACTATGTTTGATTAAATATAACCATAATATAGGAACACAAAAGGGGGAAAAAAAAAAAGTCTGAGGCTTAGCAGAAATTCTGGAAAGGATTTTAATCCAGATTCCTGTTCAGACTTCTACTGCATTTCTTGACAATTTAAAATGAAAGCTGTGAACTGCTTCAACACTTTCCTTTTCAGTGATAGCATGGAGGGTCTAAAAGCTGCTGCATTACAGCAGCAACACATTCCTCCTGCCACACACCCTCTGCACAGTGCCTGCAGCACAGTGCAGCCAGGCACAGTTACTGGTGCTGCACTGGGTGCTCAAAGGAGAGAACTGAGGCTGGGGGAAGGTCCACAACTCAGAGTGCTAATGCTGCTGCAATCTCTTCTTACAAACTTGGGCTCTCACCTTGCTTCTCTTTCTTCCTTTTTGAAGAAAAGGCAACAAAAATGATCTTGTGATAGTGCCCAGCAGCTCCTGTTCATTAGCACTGCCAGGACTTTGACCACCATGAGCAAAGGAATGAAAGATGATCTGAATTACCAACAAAAAGGCTGCTCAGAATCCAAAGGAAACTGGCACTCAGAAACATAACAGACTGTCCAAGTTTCTTACACCACCTTGGCTATTTCTGCCTTCTGCTGCTGCTGGGGGTACTCAGTCCTCCACAATTTCCAGGCCTGCAGTCCTGCTGTCTCACAGATATCTTCTTCCTCCCCATCACCTGAACTCTACCTCACTGCCTCATCCTCACTCTAGACCTCTGAACACCATCAGCAATTGTTTCCCTCTTTCCCTCCCCGTGGTTTCTCTACCCTATCCAAAACTTGTCCTTAAAATACTCTCCTGTATTTAAATCTGATCACTCCACCATTTCTGAATGCTCTTAGACATTTCTCTTTGCCACTTCAAGCATTTTACACTTCCTGATTTTATTCCAAAGACCTTGCTTTCCCATACCACCCCTCAGAACACAGCTTACACATACCTGTACATGTACAGTACATTATGAAGCCGTTCCCTATACCCTCCATGTGGCTCCTCTGCCCCAGTTTGGTAAATTTGTTACTTGAGTAACAACAATGAGATCTTCCCCATGAAGCTGGTATGTTGAATAGACTGACAGAGCTGGAATATCTAGAATCATCAAGGTCAGGTTTCTGTTTGCCTCTGCCTCCTGCAAGCCCTGGTGTCAGTCCCGCCCTCAGCCTCTCCTGACCTACACAAAGTGCTTTAAAAATCCCCAAAGTGCAGCTGGGAGCGTGAGCAGGCCCTTTGTCCAGGACCCATTCCTGCCTTGCTGCCCACATCCCGCTCCACCAAGTGCTGTCACTGAGAGGTGTTTCCATGGCGATGGTCAATGGGAAATGGCAGCCTTGTCCCTTCCATTCCCACTGCCTTTCTCTTGACAGAAGTAAAGGCCTCGCTCTGATTTCTCAGTTTGGCTGAAGGATATTTCCATTAGATTTATCCTTTCGCACTCAGACGCCCACACACAGCTTAGCTTTGATTTTCCAGCCTTCCATTTCCACTCGTTACTGGTTGTGAAGGACGGGTTTACCTGAGCCTCACTGCTGGGGACAGCAGTGACACCCCGTGCATGCTAATGTCCTGCACGGACTCACAGGGGCGTTTTGCTGGGAGCTGTTTTTCACAGACATGTCTGCCTTCCAAAACAACACTTTTCCTTGGAGGTTTACTCAGATGCAGCGGGATTTTTTACTCACAGGGGCTGGGCAGACGTGCTGGCCAGCATCCCCTGAAGAGGGACGCGGCTCTCCAAAGCTGCTCGGCGCAGCCCTCTCGCCCGTTTTCGGACGCGTTAAATCCGAGGCTGCTCGCACATGGAGGAGCAGAGCGGCGTGTGTGGTCCTCGCCCTCCTCCGGCTGCAGCTCAAGGGCACCATCACCATCCTCCCCCTCCTCCCCTTCCTCCTCCTCCTCCGGCTGCTGCCAAGAGCAGCGGGAGCCGCGCACGGCGGCCGCCAGGTGGCGCCAGCGGATAAGGAACGGGACCGGGACCGGGATAAGGGCCGGGATCAGCACTGGGACCGGGACTGGGACTGGGATTGGGCCGGGATCACACCGGGACTGGGACTGGGACCAGACCTGGGATAAGAGCCGGGATCAGCACCGGGACCGGGACCGGGATAGGGCCAGGATCAGGACTGGGACCGGGACTGGGACTGGGATAGGGCCGGGATCACACCGGGACTGGGACTGGGACCAGACCTGGGATAAGAGCCGGGATCAGCACCGGGACCGGGACCGGGACTAGG